AACTCTAACCTTATCGCCATCTTCAACCCTAAACTGAGCCCCTAATCCCAGACCCCAACCCTAACCCACCACTGTTACTACTCTCCCGACTCACCCTAAATTTATTTACAGTGCTTCCTTTCATTGTGCCTCTATAACAATTTATTCATTTTTACACTTTGTGTATGTGAAATATTGCATTAAAATGCATAGAAACTAAAATTTTAAATCCATTTTGAAAAGAAACACCAAATTTCATTTGACAAAGACTTCAAGCTTGACCACACTTTGTCCAAGCTCCTCTGATGCTGTTTCTGTCGGAGCCTCACCCGGCCCCCTGCTCTTTTAGCACGGATATCACTAAGCCAACCTCGATCCACTTCATCCCAGCCTTGACATTGAATCCAGTTCCTCCCCTCTTTGATGCCTAAGCCACTCCTGGTAATTTTCCATCCCAACCCTGTGGTGCAGCCATTGCTATCAGGGGCAGTCTACTCCCACTGTCTACAGGAACCATTCCCCTCTGCAGCACTCTTGGCCCTTGTTCCTATTGCAGGATTCTTCAGTAAAGCCTTCCCTGCCATTTACAAGGGTCAGGTGCAAAATTTCTATTAAACACACTGATTCCAAACATCTTTTTCACATGTTAAATTACTTATCCATAACGCACTACCAAGTTCTCCCCATGTTAACCTCCTCACAATTTGTCCTAACACAGTAGTCACTTGAGCAAGTTCATCTTTTTCACTTTTACTATGAGCATCTCGCCCGGGGCCCTTGGGGTCTGCTCTGTGGAGCTGCTTCACAGTTCTCTTCCCTCCATCTTTGGGGATCCCCTTTGGCCATCTCTTATGGGTTCCCCAGGCTTAGCTCCCCCATCTTCCTCTTTCTTGGTCACTTTAGTGGATCACATTTTCCAGGACTTCCCAAGACAGCTATGTGATGTGGCAGGTTATTCAGCCCTCCTCCCACTGACAGGCTTCCATGCCGCTGTCCCTTGAATCTGGCCTGGCCTGGGACTATTTGGCCTAATAGAATCTGACAGTAATGACACGTGTCCATTCCAGTCTCAGCCTTTAAGAGGACTGGCAGCTTCTGTCTCGTCACTTTGGAAGCGTGGAAGAGTTGGGATGAGTCCGAAGTTGTCCTACGGGGAGGGGGCCCACGCTGAACATGTGGACAGAGAGGAATGCCAGCCCCTCACTGTTCCTGTCATCTTAGCTGAGATGCTAGATTTCAAAAAACAGAGACGATTGGCCCCTGTGTTCTGTCCAAATTCCTGGTTTCACGAGATGTACTTGTTGTAGACCGCTAAGTCATGGGGTAGCTTGGTCTTTGTTTTCCACAGAACATTTGGTAACTTTCAAGGACTTTGTTTTTTATTTTGAGACAGATTCTCCCTAAGTTTCTCAGGCTGGGCTCAAACTTGTGATCCTCCTGGCTCAGCCTCCCAGAGTGCTAGGATTACAGGCCTGTGCCACCGCACCCTGGTAAGAGGTGGTTTCTGTGGACGATAACTGAGGGGCGCAGTGTGCTGCTGGCCTCTAGTGTGCAGTGGCTGTGGTTCCACTGAACGCCCTACAGCCCCGAGCCCGTCTAACATCAGCAACACAAGGGCCGCGAAGCCCCAGGCTGAGCCAAGCTCCGCACACGGAGTTGCACAGCTCAGGCCTCTCAGACACACCCCATTTCCCACCTGCTGTGCACGTGTCCCATCCCACCCGGGTGCCCTCTCTAGCGTGTGGGCACCGGAGAAGCGCTGAGCTGGAAGGCCCATGGTTCACCCCTACCTAGTAGTTTATTTCATATCTAATACATTCACTGGTGCTTTTGATGGCTGGGATTGTGGATGAACAAGACAGTTACAAAAGAAATTCACAGCATCCTTACTTAATACATTATTTTTCCCACCTGCGATGGTAGCGGGAATTAATTTTGTCTCAGCCACTGCCCCAGCTTCTCAGACCAAAGTGGACCCCAGAGTCCCGTCAGTACCCACACGGGTAACCACAGCTCTCCAGGACTAAAAAGGGCCTACTTTAGAGCTAGCAATGACACCTCCTGCAGCGAGCCCCAAGTAGGGCTAAGAGTAAGGATTCCTATCTACCCTAAAGGGTAGCTGGATTCTGCCACAGCACGTTCTTTAAATTAAAAACACCAACAGCAGTAAGACCCCCTTTGACTACACAAATTCACCTTCGACAACACAGCAAATAAAGTGCTTACCCTCTCCAGCTTTCATCCCACCCAGAATCCCCCAGGGCTACAATTCCCTGCCATTCAACCCGCTTAAAGGCCACACAGCAGACGGGGCTGATGGCCACCTTCAGACACAGCGCTGATCTGGAGTTATACACTGTGACATGCAGCTCAGGAGCCCAGCATCAGCTACAGCTATGTTCCGCTGACAGCTATGTTTGCCACGTGATTCATCAGGCTCAACTCCCAGCTAGTCGTGGGTGTTATTCCCCACTTTCCCACTCCCTAGCTTCCCAGCTCTCTCCAACCCCCTCAGTGAGGTCCAGAGAAAGCTGCACAAAGGACTCAGAAGTCTTTGGCCAATAATAACTTATGATTCATGTCAAGAGCCGAGCCACGCTGCTTTTGGTAATGGCTTCCTCCAGTTTCTTCTCTCCAAATTCCTCAAACCCACAACACAACAGAGATTCCTTCCCATCTTCAGAAGTCGATCCTGTCTTTTCCCATGTGGTCTCCAGTTGTCCCTGTATCCTGGCCCCGTTGGGCTCCTTTCTGAGTATTTAACTCCATCTCTGGGCTGGGTTCCAAGGGAAGTCATCCAACCTTCTCATTCGGCCACAGCCCGTGGATAATCCACCACCATTACGACCATGGTGTGTTTGTTACAAGGGGAACTGGCTCCTGGCTACTTCTCTACCGGTCCCCAACCAGCCTGTCCTCCCTGCTTACCTGTGCTCCTTTCCTGCGTCATCTACACCCAGGACATTTCCCCTCTAAACGGTACCTGCGGGTAGAGCCCTGTCCACCATGTCTGGCCCCTCATGACAGCTCCTCCTGTGCTCTGGCCCTACTGGCTTGAATCAGCAGCTCTGGTAGGGTGATGGGTGAAATTATCACAGGAGTGCTCCGGGCATGTCCATATTGACCTGTGGGCCTCATTTCCCTGCTGACCCCACTTCAGCAACTAAGATGGAGGGCACCCGCTCCTGCAGGGGTCATCAGTGATGGAATCAGGAGAAAATTCTTGGCTTTTGATGAGAAAAAATGTAAAAGATAAGCAAATAGCCAGGCACAGTGGTGCATGCCCATAAACCCAGCTGCTTGGGAGGCTGAGCCAGGGAGATGGCAAGTTCAAGGCCAGCTGGGCAACATTGTTTTCCTTCTTCCCCACCCTCCTTACTGGATAAAGATCCCAGGAACTCAAACTGGGAGGAGCAGGAGAGCTAGAGGAGTTTGCATGTCTTGGGGCCTTGCCTGCTGCCCCAACCCCAGGGAAAGCGGATGTCTCTGCTCTGGGTGCCCTGGGCCCTGCTGACCCCTGGGAACCCCATCTCCACCCTAGAGGACAGCAGGGTCTACACTGAGGGCAGAAGGAGGTGAAGCTCAGCCAGGCCAGTTCAAGGTCTCTGCCAGCCCTGGAGGCTTGGAGATCACTGTGCTGCTGCTGGTTCCCTAAGAAAAGTCTCGGAAGTTAGGAGAAGGGAGAGAGGGGGAGGGAACAAAGAAGGAGGGCAGTGAGGGGGAGAGAGAGAGAGAACTGATGACTGGGCAGCAAGCCCACTAGAAGGAGTTAAGGGGAAAGAAGAGGAAAAAGGAAGGAGGGAGAGAAAACAAAACTGATCACTTTATCTGGCTTCAGTTTGTCTTTTCTGCAAGCTAGGAAAGGCCCCTCGGGAGGTACACATCGATGCAGACCTGCAGGTCTGACGGGCAGGTGTCAGCGACACTGTCACCTAACCAATCAAACAGGCAGGTCTGAGAGAGCTGATTCTGCCTAGAAAAAGGTTTAAACATCTATTTTCTGTCTACACTGCAATGAGGGTGACTATGTTCACATCACATAGTAAACATGCTCTTCCGTCCAGAATTCAGTTTCCCTCTGGCCTCTAGATGAAGACCTCAGTTAGGAGCTCTGTGCAAGAGACAAGGAGGGGATCACTGGGCAAGGTGAGCCTGGACCCATGGTTCAGGACCCTTCTCCTCCTGACTGTCAAGGATCCCCGTGCTTGGGTCAGAGAGAGAGAGTCCTTGCCTCAGGCCCCACAAGAGAACACATTCCCCTACTCTGCTCTAACCCAAACCCAAACCCTAACGCTAACCCTAACCCTAATCCTAACCACAACCCAAACCCAAACCCTAACCGCTTCTCCTCTCTAAACAAAACTCTAAGCCCAAACCTAACTCTAACCACACACCAAAACCAGAACACTAACCCCAACCCTAACCCTAACCCTAACCCCAATCCTAGACCTAACCCTAACTGGATCCCCAACCCTAACCCAACCCCAACCCTAACCCAATCCCAATCCTAACCCTAACCCTAACCCTAACCCTATCCGCAGCCCCCACCAGGAGCCAGTCCCAGAGTCAGCAGGGATATCTCTATTTCACCTGAAAACTAATCACCAGGGTGGGCTCTTATGCTGCATGGAAAGGGGCCTGGCTCTCAGGTGGAGAGCTGGCTGCTCTAATATTAAAAGGGAACAACCACCAGAAGTGGTGGCACACGCCTATAACCCAGCAAGAGAATCACTGAGAGTTCAAGGCCAGCCTGGGCTGCACAGTGAGACCCTGTCTCTCTCTCTCTCTCTCTCTCTCTCTCTCTCTCTCACACACACACACACACACACACAATGAATAAATAAAAATAAAGAGGAACAAACCAACCCTGAAGCATCCCCTCACCATGAGGACACTACTATGCCCACATCCCTGTGCCCAGGAAGGAGCTGAGCCCAACCTTACACACAGGCATGCCCTCCTGCACGTGTCCATCCATCCCCCTTGCCAACTCTCCTTCTTGCCGTGCAGAAAACACCTGGGCTCATGAGACTGAGTGACATTGCACTGCTCTGCCTGGAGGACTTTGCCTTCTCCCCACCAGGCCAGATGTGGAGCCTCCCTGCTCCTTCCTCAGATGTCGGCCACTGAATGTCAAGTAACCAGAGCAGGAGGTGACCCGGATGATGGGCTGTGCATCCATCAGAGCTGCCTGCGGGCGGGCTGGGTGCCTGGAAGGAAGCAGGATTAACAGGTAACTTGGGACTGTAGTGCTACTCCCAGGCAAATCAGCAGATGGACTTTGAATTGCACTGATCGGTTATTTTTGGACACGGACACACACACACACACACACACACACACACTCCTGGTGTAGTAAAAACTGCTAACTTGATGTGTGTATGTGGGATTTATCCACCTGAGTAATTTCTAGTAATCTGGAGTACCACACACTGTCTCCTAATTCCTACCTTACACACCAGGCCTGTATTTTTCAACTCGAGATAATTAAATTTGATTTTGTTTCAATAACTGTCTTGACAATTTTAAGATACTTTAAAAAGTATTTATAGCATCCCAGTTTTTTCAAAAGCAAGACTGAAATTAATCTATTTATGCCAAAAGTTGTAATTTTTTGAATTTTTGCACGAAATGGATATATGCTACCAAGAAAAATTGTAAGGAACAATGATTTGAAGAAAAAAATGTTTGATGTTTCATTGATATGTGCTATTCCAAAAATGGAACCCTAGGCGCAAAAAGATTAACTTTGCTAGTTACATACACACCTTTGAGTTAATCACATAGGTCTTTGTGTTCCAATCTTTTAATAGCTGATTTTCAAAATCATACAGAATATGTCAGGTTAATAAAAACTTTTAACTTAAAAAAAATGCACAATTCACAGATGACCGGTCTTCAAGATTTATTGTTGACGATCTTTGACTAAATATTTCCTTAGTGATTATGAAGACATTTTGATTGTAAAATTATGGAAATCAATTTTCATTGGGATATTGATGTGAATAATACCTAGGTCAGGCAGAGTTCTGGACACAGCAGGGATCTAATTGTTTCATACTGGGAACTGAAAATCACACTTGGAAAATTTGCATGTATTGTTAAATGAAATATTGTGTATTAACAAATACAGTCTTGGCACATAGCATATTTTCAGTCATTGAAAGCAGAATTTGAAAATGAAATTATATATACTTCAAGGAGTAACTCCCTGCAACTGCTTTTATGTGCTTCTCCAGCACACTTGGCCATTTGACAAAACGTACTCAGCGCATAGTATTATATTGCAGCAATTCTAAGCCAGGCATTTATTCACATTTTATTAACTCTGAAAGTGTGATCAATATGAACATTGACGCTGGCTTACTGTTATACTCAACTACGAGAGATTATAGAGAATCACCACACTCTGAGCCAAATTTGAGTCCTTTACTGCCAGTGGTCAAGAGCAACTTGTGCTCAAAAATCTCTCGACGATGAAAAGTAGGTTGCGGGTTTCTTTTAAGCAGCTGTTCTAGTTGGGGAGGACTCAGGGAGAGGGGGAGCACAAGTGGAATTTCACAGAAGCAGAACTTTGTTAAATTAGTGGGGGTCAGGAGAAGTTTCACACAGTTTAGTTGAAACAAAATATCACACAGGTGTGGAGTATTCTGTTTACAAGGTCATCAAGATAACATAGCTGTAGACTGCTCTGCCAAATGGGATGCGGTGGCATCAACCAAAGGGGCTCCCAAGGGGGGAGGGGAGGCAACCACCTGGAATCACTCCACTTTACATAAAATGGGGGGGGGGACAGTGATGAGGCACAAAATGGAGTGAGGTTGGCTATCACATTATGATCACTCTCAGCAGAAGCAACTGAGATGTGTGAGTCCGTGCTATTTCTAGTGGCATAGTAGGTAACACAGCCTTTCATGTTTCTGTCACTGGCCTTTTAAAAACTGCTGGAGGAAGGCACGTGCACTGGGCTTGTTGTTGCAATCTACCACCTGGCAAGATCTACAAAGCACTAGGCCTCACGCTTCCAAAATGGTGGTGTCCAGTGTAGAGACAGAGTGGCTCATTCTTTTAAGAAATAGTGTCATACTCACACTCCAGATGGCATAATATTTCAGGAAGCTGTGGACACGGACCAACCTGAATACCAGGAGTGATTCAGCAGAGGTAGAATCTGAATATGAAGAAGTTTAGGAAATTGTGGCAATTGCTTTGGCTTGTATTTTCTTCTATATGTAGGTGTGTGCAAGAGAAAAAAAGAGATGCTAAATGTCCGTGACTAAATATGTCTCTGACACCACACAGAAGGAGGTCTAAGAAGAAAGCAGGATGTCACCACTTCACTGAGTGAGCATCATGCTATAAGTTTGGAGGCTTTTCCCCATTCTCACTAGGATTTAAGTAGCCGACCGTCTCCACAGATGGGGTGTTCTTCAGTGTCTGCTGGGCCTTGTGCTTGGCTCTGCAACTACAACTCGCTCGGCAAACATCTACTGAATCCATACAGCATGCCCAGTCTTTGCCAGGGGCTGTGGATGGGCCAAAAACTCCCAGAGACATTGTCCTCACTGGGAAGATAGACATCAACTCTGATTCCACAGAGGGAGGAAAACTACAGAGAAAAAACCCATGAGACACAATATGAAGTTTATCGTAATGGAGCAAACACGGGTGTCCAGGATATCATCCCTGCTCCCAAGACAGGTATAATCTAGTACTTCAGGATGGTGGGTTAAGTGCCATGAATGCCTTAAACAAGTCTACAGGAAGTGACCGATGCACTGTCCTGCAGGGCTGACCCAGATTAGCCGGCTACGTGTTCCAGGCAGAGGGGTCGTCAGGTTTCACCTGCGGAAGGCTCCGGTATCCGGGCAGGAGCCGGGCCTAGAAGGGTGGGAACTCAGGGCCTGGGAGGCCTGGCTGCTGTGTCCATGAGCTTCTGGTCTTTGTACAAGAGCAGCCGGCAGATGCTCTGGGGGTTTGCAGGAGTAGGCAGGGCAGGGCTTGCACTTCAGAAGGATCACACCAGGTGGAGTGTGGACAGAGGGGTCATCTCATTTTTCCCCGTCCCTCAAGCAAGGAAGCCAACTGCAGTAATTCAGGAGGAAGAAGGTGGTGGCCCTGTCAGGGTTCCTCATTTCCCCAGCTTGATAGGGTCTTCCTCCTGCCTGTCTGGGAGTCTTTGTAATACAAGGTTGACATTGGCAACCTATGTTCTCTGCCCGGCGGAGCCCAGTTACAGACACTACAATCATTTTTCAATGAACTCCTGTCAAGTTATTTGACTGGAAAAGCAGATTAATAAGCCCACTGATCCAGTGAACAACTCATCAATAAAATTGCCACCCCAATTACACAATAAAGTAAAAAATCAAAGCGTACAGTTGCCCCTCTAAGCCTCTGTGGGACTTCAGCATTTCCATCTGAGATTCATCAAAAGGTCCGGCCAGCCAGAAAACGGTTCAGATGAAACCCGATTGATTTGTGTTTCTGCCTGAGCGCTGAGCTTTCTGCGGGTCGCAGCCTGTCAGGTATAAAGAATCATCATTTTACCAGGGCTGCCTTTCGCAGTGTAGAAGGGAAGGGGCCTCAGCCAGCGCTGGGGATAAACGCTGGACTTGCGCCTGTTTAAACAGATGCAAATGAACGGGCCCAAAGGCTCAAGTTCAAAGTGGGGCTCAGCACCTGAGCAGCACTCTGTATGTAATCCCACTTCTTTGGAAAAGCACTGGGCAGAAATGTTTCAGAAGCAGGCCAGGAGCCGCAGCTCTAAGGCTATTCACACCGCTCCCTGGCTGCACCACCACACCCTTTCTTCTTGGAACCCACCAGGGGCTACCGGCCCAGAAGCCACTGGGGGGGGGGGCGCGGAGCCCAGTTCCACTCAACAGGCACTTCGGCCAGCTGTTCCTCATCTCCTCACAGCTTTTTGAAAGTAGCTGTATTTTATAAGCAACCTCTTGGAGGAAGTCAGATTTGGCCAAACAAGTCACCTCTAGCCATTTTATCCTCCCATGCTTTTGTGTTTCTGGGCCAGGCTGGGTTTACCCTGCAGGAAACCATTTAAAGAATGCAGATAATACCTATCAGAGCTGAGTCCTCCTGTCAGGAGAGTACTGTACAATGCACATCCTTCTAAGTTATTTATCATAGCCCGAGGCCTGATAGAATACAGTTTCCTTGATGAAGAGATAAAAAGCAGCAACATAAAAGCAAGGTAAAAGAAGAACTCTTCATTAAAACTGAATCTACCTTCTGGTCGTAGCTTTTATTTGAAGGGTATTTTTTTTTTTTTTTTGTATTACTGAAATTTATCATCATGAAAATTTACCTTGCAGATCTTTCCAGAAAATGAAGAGAACAGTAACAGTGGGAATGAGGTTGGAAAGGGGCAGAAACCCAGAGAAAGAGAAAGCTACAGGCAGAGACAACGGAGAGGAAGGAGGAGAGGGAAGGGGAGAGAGAGACCCAGAGAACCTGACTCTATAGAAGAAGAATACTGAATACTCAGCTAAAGAGACTGATTCCTCCAAAGAATGGAAATAAACAATTCAGGAAAGCAAGGGCTCTACTCTGTTGAAATCAAGGGAGGAACTGGGTCCGTGGGAAGGGAAGCCCATAGCCACCCGCACTGCCCCCACAGGAGCCCTTTCAAGTGAGGGGCCCGGAGAGCTCCCAGGGTGCTTTGCGTCTCCACAAGACTGCCTCTCACTGTCCTTGGGGTGGCGGCTCGGATCCACGACAGGGTGCAGAGGGGTGAAATTTATTTCAAATTCCAGCTTGCCAACCCTCTCTCTTCCTGCGCCTGCCTAGGACAGAACCTCGGAGGTACTCAGCGCGCAGCGAGAGCAGCAGCGGTTCAGGACAGCCTTAGGCTTCAGCTCTGCAGGGCAATTCAATAAATCAACGCAGCTGCGAAACAACCACTTAGCCGGGCATGTCCTCTTTCTTGATAGAAACTGTACAGTATTTTGTGTTTCTTTTCCACTTGTGATTTTTTTATTGCTCTTACTTTAGAGATGAGCATGGAAGCGTGAGTACACAAGTTTTACCTCATTCCTCTGCCTGTCCCATGGTCCCCTGTGGCACAGATGGGTCACACTCCCCGAAAACTGCGGGATTTTGCTTTGTTGGTCTAAGGAGAAACAATTTGGTTTCCACTCTTTGGGTCTCCTGGTCCTATGGGGGCAGCTGGAGTTCAGCTTCATGCCGCTGAGGATGTAAACACTTGTGCAGGACTGGAGAGAAAGGAGGAGTTACTTTAATCTAGCGTATTTCCCAGCTATGGAAAACCACCTTGAGTTTTCCCGTCTAGGAGAGACTGGTGCATAGGAATGCTACACGAGGGACGACCCAGAAGAGCACTGCAGCGCTCTCATATTCTTTTGCTCTTTGGTAGCTTACATGTTAGAGATGCTTTTCAGGAATAAAAATAATAGCCATTTTGTATTTATATGAAAGCAAATGGAAACCAAGATTTTCAACATAATGTAGAGAGCCACTGTAAGAACATTGCCTTTTCTTTTACTTAATAACATGAGATGGGGAAGAAAGGAAAGGGAATAATGTCAAAATTGAAAAGCAGCTGAGCAGCGCTGCGGTCATTCCTCGCGTGTAATGTCTACACCAGCAGCTGCAGGATCAATCCAGTCTCGAATCCTTTGAGCAGCTGTTTGTGCGCCATCAGCTAAGGAAGCTGGCTGAGTGGGTGCTCAGGTATTAATGTGACGAGGGGCAGAGGGGATAAAGAAGGACAGAGAGGACCCAAGAAGGGCCCTTCTGAAGGGAGATGTTTCCCCACCCACTTGTGGAAATCCATTTCAGGTCCTCTGGGACCAATTGTGATTCCTGGCCTTGGGCAAAATTCCTGTTTGGCGTCAATACATTGACGGGTGACCCCTTGAAAAAGCCTGGGCCTGCTGTCGGGAATCGATGTCTGATGCGGCAATCTATCCTCAGGCCAAATCCCCACTGAAGTTCTTAGGTTGGGGATGGAGGAAGAAATGGACAGATCCTTCGACCTGTCTTTTTTTTTTTTTTTTAATTTTAATCACTTGTTAAAAAGCAATATTCAGGCGGTATTGAGGGTCATGTTTTTGCTTCCCTGTCCTTGCTCATCTTTCTAACTGCATGGAAGAGATATGTTCATCGTTCATTTGTACTGAGCTGTCCAGGGCAGAGATGCCTGCCTGTCTGATTCTAGTTCAATCCGTTTTCTCTAACATCTCAGTCCAGAGGCCGAAGAGGTAGCCGGTCCTCTCCAGTAGCTCCCCTGGAAACAGAAGCAAGACTCTTGGGTCAGCCAGCTTTGCCACTTGGAGACAGCAAGAACCACAAATCTGCCGAGGATCCTGGTTCCTGGAGGGCAGGGCACTCAGGCAGCAGACCAAAGAGGAGTGCAAGTCAGTCCTCACAGCTGTGAGCTCTTTTCCGGCCCTGTTCCCGTGGGGTCCCGTGGGGTCCTGTGTGTGGCCAGGCCCTTATAACACTGTGCAACTGAAGGAAAACGGGGGAAGGGGGGATGGAGGTGGGGCAGGGATTAAACATTAGGCCTGGGGCAAAAGCCTCCTGCTTCCAAGTGCGAAGGTGACCTTCAGCAGGTGGCCGAGGCCTCAGGGAACTGAGGTGGCCGCTGAGCTCTGGAAGTAGAATAGGGGACAAATGTGCACAGGGATTTCGTAGTGAAGCCAGCAAAGGGAAGTGACCCACTTCGCCTGCTCTCTGGAAGAACCGGGATCCTCTGGCGTCAGTAAGCTGGGGTGGGGGTGGGTAGGGGCTGCTGGGGAGATAAATTAAAAACGAGGGGGAAAGGTGATTCAAATGTCGGAGCATAAACTTCTTTGGAATATTTTTGTGAGATTAAAAAAATAGTAAAAAGATGAAAGAAACCTCTGGAAAAGAACAAGCACCAGTGTTCACATCGGCAACCCTGCTCCCACGGCTGGCCGGTGTGAGCTCAGCGGCTCCATTTTCGCATCAGCCAAGCCATTTCCTGCCTCTGGAGCAAAACCCATCATGGCTACTGGTCCCTGGCGATAATTTCTTCCTCTCTGAAGACCATAACATTTAAATAACAAGCACAAGACTCCTTCAGGGAGCAGAACAGGAAGGAGAGCCCTAAAGGCCTGTCAGCTCTTTCTGTCGAGACTCCCTTCTCCTGGGCTGAGGTCTTGGCCGGGCTCTGAAGGGGAGAGGAGAAGCTGACAGCAGTTCTGGCCTCTCTCTCAAGAGTCAGAAACACAGTAGAGATGAAGTCCCATAGCCTCGAAGGAGGTGGGGACCACAGGGGCAGCTGCAGTCTCCCATGTTAGCTCCGGAAGAGCAGCCACGCATGGCCCCTCCTGGGAAGGCCTGGTCAGGGTGCCAACCCCACACGTTTATCAGTGAGTGTTTCTTGGCACACAGTCCTACACTGCAGGGGACTCAGAGGTCATAAAACCCAGTCCTGCCATTTGACAGAACGCTTTGCTAGTCAGGGACACAGCCAGGCCTAGATTCTGGGGCTCCTGATTCCCAGGCTGGTTTTCTTCATTGCTTTGAGTTGGGCATTTGCCAGTTGGTTAAAACACACGGTCTCTGTCTGCAGTTACTTGAAAATGTCTATTTCCCAGAACAGGGAGTAGTCCAGGCGATGAGCGAGCATGAGATGACCAAAGAAGACACCTGGTGTGAACCCTGTGTCTCTAGGGCCGGGCAGAAAGGAGGGCCGAGGGCAGGGCCTGCAAAGCCACCGTGCTGTCTGAACTCTAAACCAGTCTGGCCCTTCACTGGGCCATGAGGGACCCAGAAGCAGTCCCAGGTGATGTCAAATTCCTCATCTGCAAGGGTGGCACTGTCACCGAGGGAAGGTCGGGGTGCCTTCTCAGGGTCACAAAATGCCCTGGCTCCATCCCTCCTCCTTCACAGACACACACGCCACTTCCTGCTGTCTTCTGGTAAATCACCTACGGAGACTCCTGGCATTTACCTCACAGAAGCTTAAAGCTTCCTCTCCCCGAGCCCAAGCTACGCACAGAGAGAGACTACAAAGGAGGATATTGTTCTTATTTTATACCAGCTGGGGGGAAGAGAATGCTGAGGGAAAAACACTGAGGGATAGTTTTAAAACTCCAAATTCATAGGAAAATTATAACAGGATTCTTATTTTTAATTCCATTTTCCCCTTTCCTTTCTACCATGCCTAAACCATTTCTAAAACTGTCCTTATTCAGGTACAGAAGACTTTGTCCCATCAAGCTCTGTGGAAAGCCAGGGGAAGATGTGGCGAGAGGAGGTACAGGTGGGATTGGTGACACTGATGTGTTGGGTTCTTAGGCCTGACCCTAGAAGGGCCGGAAGAAAGCACAGGGTTTTGGGGTGAGGGAGGGCTGCTCTTCTGCTTCCCACTGGCAGGATTGGAAGGAGGAGGAGGAAGAAGCCCCCCTCCAGCCCCTAATCCTCTGCCCTATCTACTTCTTCCAGAAAAATAATAAGAAGAGAACAGCCACATCCATCAATGGCACTGATCCCTGAGCCACACCAGTGGCTATGTCACACCCACCCAACTTTCGGACAATGAGGAAGCCAGGGAACAGAGTGGGGCCAGTTGTCTGTGTGGGCAGCACGGTGTCCTGCAGCCTTCCTGGTGTGGTTTTCAGGCTGGATGCACACACCGAGGAATTAAATCTGGGGAGAGAACACGAAGGGTGAGCTGCTGGAAATGTTCATGCTGTTGCATTCGGATATGCGGACAGGCTGACACAGTGCATGTTAAACCAGTTCAGAATGAGGCAATATTAAAAATATTAATTCGGGGACCCGAGGTGGGTGCTGAATTTGTAGAAAGGGCATGCAGCCCCTGCCCTGAGGTCTGCGGGACCAAGCCCCTCCCGAGGGTGGGCACGGTTAGTTGCCATAGTGAACATTCCTTACACCCCAGCTTTCTTTGGGGGTAAAAACAACTTATTAGTTGCCAAAAGAGACATGCAGAAGAAAAAAATGGTCTTTCCTTCTCTTTTAAGATCTGCTTTGAAGACAAGGTAACCAAATAACCAAGCTGTCACATAAACTCAAAACACTACATCGAGGTCTGTAGGGAGAGGCCAGGCTGCAGGACTGTTCTGCCATCCCTGGGTGACCACTGGAAATCGTTCTGGAGTCCTCTTTCCTGAGAGGCTTTAGCTGCCTCTGCATCCTGAGTGGGTTCGAAATGCTGACCTTTCATGGTCATTTAGATATTTGGGGAAGAGCCAGATCGGGTGAATGAGATGGAAGAGGACACAGCATCATGATTTCACGAGCTGCCTTTCCGGTTGGCCAGCACTTGGCAGCAGCAGTCACCAGAGCTGCTTCCGAAAGTGAGGAGAAGGATGGGTGGATGTCTGAATCCAGGAGGAGTATTCTGAGGGGGATTCATGGCGACATGTCTTTAACCGTAATAAATTTTTAAAAATTTAAACATTCACCTGGATATTTGATCACCTGTATGCATGGACTATGGGATGTTTCATGAATGACTCCATCAAATCTGGGCACAATGACTGAGCATCGTGTCATTCATGTGCCCTCCTATCTGGTAGGAACCAACTCTAGGGGCCCGTATTCTGTTTTGCTGGCTTTCAGGACCAATGTCCCTGTATCTTTCTAGATTCCAGTCCCCAAACATTGCCACAGACAGAAAAGCTTGCAGAAGCAGCTGCTCCTCAATTCACTGCGGGGTCTCAGCCCAACCAGCCAATAAGAAACTGAAAATATCCTAAGTAAAAAGCACACATAGCCCACCTGACCTAGCGACCACCTGGCTCAGTGCCTCGGCACCCTGGAGGGACTTAGGGGTTTGCCTAGTGACCCTATGGAGACAGGGACAGTTCGCTGTCACTGCCCAGCAAGGCCGGGAGCACTGGTCACAGTCACGGCCTGGGGAAAGACTGAAATCCTAACTATGATTTCTACAGAATAAATAACACTTTCTCACTGCTGAGAAGTAAAAAACTCCTAAGGTGAACCATTAAGTCAGGGCCATCTAAAGACCAGTAGTATGAAAAGAGACTATTTTTGTGCAAAATAAAAGTAAAAGGTTAAATTGGGACTTATTCGAGACTATGTATCAAGAGTAAATCTTCATACATGCACATTACAAACAAAATGGACTTCACAGGTCCCATTAGAAATGCCCTACACCTCCTCACCAACACTTTTCTTCTAGCTAACAAACAGTAAGGATGTCATGGCGATTTCTCTTGGCTCTTGTGACCGTACTGCTCTGGTTAGATTTATGGGTAATTTCCAGGTTGAAGTAGCAATATACTACAACTTGCCCATTTTTGAAAGCTGTAATTATTGCAGGAGTAACTTTCATTTTTGGGGTTCACAGTTTTGTTTTTTTGTTCCGGGGATGAAACTCAGGACCTTGCGCTTACAAGGCAGGCGTGGTGCCACTGAACTACATCCTTGGCCCTAAATTTTCATTTTTATTGAGATAGCAGAGGACAAGAAATCTTCATAGAAGGAAAGCTTAAAAATTAACATAAATGCTAAGATGGGTTCTTTCCAGGTGTGTTGGCTCATGTCTGTAATTCTAGCATTTTGGAGGCTGAGGCAGGAGGACCACCATGAGTTTGAGGCCAGCCAGCCTGAACTATGTAGCGAGACCCTGTCTCAGAAACAAAAGAAAAAGAAAACATAAGTTCTAGTTCCTTTTTCTTTTCTTAGAATGTTCAAATTTATTTATTTTTAAATTAATGGACAAAGTGCATGTATTTTTAGTGTATAAAATAATGTTTTGAAGTATATATATATATGTTGTGGAACAGTTAAATCTAATTGACATATCCATCACCCCACATAGTTACTGGTGTGTTTTTTTTGGTACTGGGGATTGAACTCGGGACCTTGCACTTGCAAGGCAGGCGATGGAACTACTGAGCTAAATCTGCGGCCCTTCAAGCATAAAACATATTGTCATTAACTATGATCACCAAACTATAGGACTTTTCCCTGCTGTTACCTCATTTTGTCTCTTTAGGCAAATGCGTTCCCAATCCCACCCTTTCCCCAGCCACCAGCCTCTGCTCCCCACTATGCTCTGTTCCCATGAGATCAACTTTTAAGGTTCCACGTGAGTGAGGCCACACTGCACGGCCACACCGCATTTGTCTTCCTGTACCTGGCTTATCTCACGTAGCACAACATGTGGTAAATGTCAGGGCCTGTCTTTCATGGCTGGACAATATCTCATTGTGTGCCACCGGTCACGGAGCCTGACTCTGCGTCTCGAGCAGTAAACCAACTGATATGGGCGGCCGAGCTCTCTCCAATACCGGTCTGCTGGGTCTCAGTCCTGTTTTTAAATGAAAGAAATTAGGGCACAAACGACCGTTTGGACTTTTTTCTCTTAGGAGCTAAGGTGTGGAACTCCAGGTGTGCTGCTCACTTCCGGTTCCTCTGAAGCAGTGATGGCGAACCTTTCAGAGGCGAGTGCCCAAACTGCACTCCCAAACCCACTCCCTTACCGCAAAGCCCAGCACCGCGACTAAAGCTGAACAGCCCGTGCTCGGTTGCTGGGTGACTGCGGCACGCGTGCCCCAGGTTCGCCCCCTCTGCCCTAAGGAGACTTCCTTTTGTCTCACTGTACCCAGCAAACACCACAGGCCCTTAAGGAAAGTGTGGGGCAGGCTCCGCGGAACGGGTCGCGGCCCTCGGTGTCTGTGAAGCAAGGCCCCGAGTGCCCGCCCCAGGACAGGAAGTGACCCGAACACTGACAGACGGGGCCCACGGGGGACACAAAACCAAGAAGCAAGGGGCCAGGATTTCGTGTTTTCAGGGACTCGGGATGCTTTTGCCACAATGGGTCCCTTCCTTCGTGAAAAGATAATAAGGTGGGGAAGGCGAGGAGCTCTCTGTAGGAGGCACACTCAGGCCTGGTGAGCAGCTGCTTGCAAACTCTGGCCCGCCCGCTAAGGGCACACGAAACTCCGGTTCGCCCGCAGACTTCCTTCCTGCCCGCGGAGGAAGCCAAACACCTACGGCCAGAACCGGAATGGAAAACGAGCCTTCCGCCTCTCCCCGGCTCCTCTGCCTGACCCGGAAGAGGTGGAAGGAGCCTGTGCGTGTCAGTGGAGTTGCGGATACGGAGGCTGCTGAGGCCCACGGAGCCCAGGGCCTCTGTCCCCGCGGGAGGCCCCTCCTGGGCCTCTTCCAGTCGCGGGGGAGGCACAGATCCCCGGCCCGGACCGGAGGGGACACAGGGGCCCAGGGAAGGACTCCCGTGTTGGCCCGGAGGACGTCGCGCTCCGCCGAGGGCGATGGCTCGGACCTCAGCGAGGACGTGAACTCAAGGAGCAGCAAAGACATGCGCGGGGCAGCTGGGGTCCGTGCCCAACCTAAAACCCGCGTTTGGCACCCGGCCGGCCCCAGTCTGTGCGTGAAGGTCCCCTGGCCTGCAATGACAGATGCGTTAGGATGAGCTCCCCAGGAGGCTCGAGCTCAGGGGCCCGCAGGAAGAGCCGCGGGAGCCAGCGTCCTCACCGGCGCCTTGGCCTGGGGCCTCGCAGCCCGCAGCGGCACAGGGCTGAACAGTTGCTGTGACCCAGCTCGCTGGTGCCATTTTGCTATTTCACCCCCAATTAAGGCGTCTGCTTTGCTACAAGTAAAACCTCACCCAACAAACAAACGTGCATTTCAGTGCCGTCGTGGATTTCGCCAGACACTGGCCACACCGTACCCGGGCCGGTTCCCTCGCTGCCACTGCGGGGCCTCAGGAGGCCTCACCGGGCTGCCAGGGGGGTGCGGGCCACACTTCATGCTGGGAGACAGCTGTAAGTAAGTAAGCGACAAGGACGCAGACGAGCACGCTAGAGGAGGGGGCCGGAGGGTGTCCAAGAGGTTAAGTATTTGGAAATAAAGTATTTTAAAAACTGCCTGTTTCTGGGACATCATTCTGGCACTAGAAACTGAAAAGTTGCATTCTGTTCCATGGGGTTATAATTATTAAAAATCGAAGACAGAAATGAGTTTATGCTTTTTAAAAATCACACATCAGTATGAAATAATATAATCATATTACAAAACTTGGAGAAACAAAGACAAGAAAAAAACTTGCCCGCATCAAACCAGCCAAGGCAACCACTTCTGTAAGCAGTGTCTTTCCAGTCTTTCTTCCCAACACAAGTTACATAGTCTGCACTGTTTCAGTGATGAAGTACGTAAATGTTCCCATCGTGCTTTCTCCACAGAGTATTAAGATGATTTTTAAAATGTGGGTAAGTTCCGTCTACGCTGGAAATTTCGCGTAGCAGCATCTCACCTGCATGCGGGCAGCAACGCTCTCGATGCCCAGGTTGTTCTCCACTGCCAGGGAAGGAGCGCCCCGGAAGGCCGTGCTGGTCCACGGCTCCACAGCATGCTCTGCCCATCTCTGCCAGCCCCAGGGCTCCCTGCAAAGTTTCCCAGCCTTCATGGGCACCCACCCCAGGCTCGGCGGCAGCAGGGCCTGGCCCGTCTCAGCGGCCCCTTTGGCCTGGTCTGTGCGTCAGCGGGGGCTTAGTTCTCTCCACTGAGGTGGTGGAGGAAATGTGGGGACAGGTTATGACTACTAAAAGACTGATGAAGCAGATGGCATGCCTGTAGGACAGAAACCTGGACACTAAGCAACCAGGAGCAGAGCTGGCCAGCGGGGAGCAGCAGGGTGGCAGCAGGGAAGGGCGGGAAGGTTCTACAGCGCGACCTTGACATTTACACTTCATTTAACATCTTACTTAAACAGTCTTTTTGCTTAAATTAAGAAGTCAGAGGTTGAGCACACCTGTAAT